CTCACATCTTTTTCTGCCTTTTGTGACCTAAGCTCCAAATGCAGACTGATTTTACAACTCGAGAAGAACGGAAGCCATAGGGCACAAATTTTCAAAGATTTTTTTTTACTGTGAGGGTCAATAGCCCAAAAAACGTCTTTACCTGTTGCTGCGTCCTAACCTATAATCTCAGCAGTAAGTTTAGGCTAAAATCGTATCTAAATCAAATGTGATAAGTAAAAGCATTTCTAAGTGATAAGCAGTAAATCTCCTTGACTTAATTTGCAATTTCAGTTTGACCGTGGCAATTCTAAACGAACATTGTGTTTTGATCGCAGTCACGCCTTCATAATCTCTCCAGTCCCAATGTGGCGGATAGTTGGAACCATCCCAACTCACTTGAATCCAGCCATCCTCGTCGTTACGGTAAACACGATTCGAATCCACCAGTGGACCCGAAAACTGGAAAATTCATAAATTTTGCCCACAGTCCACCACCAAACCAATATTTCGTTAAACATTATTACGGCTAGAACATGAACAGGGACAATGGCACAACGGAGAGAACAAGAAGCAATAGACGCGTTGGAAATCTTCAGACGTAGTCGCATCAGCGGCTCTTTCAAACTGACGTGTGAACCACAGAGGTTGATCCCGCAACTAACCGAAATGTGCGAAAAGTAGCTGAAGACATCAGGTTTCAAAAAAAGTAGCTCGCATGTTTCTCCTGGTGCAACCCTACAATTCGACTTACTTCCCTCCACTCACTAATTTCTAACACTTCCACTATAATCTAAATAATTTCATATTGCCAACATTCTCACTTACTAACTGCCTCTGCCTTCCTTTTCCCACCATTAATTTTCCTTGTGTAAACCTCTTCCGAAAGCCCTGAATTCTTAGTCTTGAAATTAACACGCGCCACTGGTCTGCCACGTCTTGCCACGACTAACGCTACTAACTGACCGCCTCGACACGATTAGCGTCATCCTTCTGCTGTAGCTTGTGCGGCGTCTCGGCTCGTTTTTATTGAAGTCAAGCTTTGTTGGAGATTAAAGTACTGGCGCTCTTCACTGTCTTTCGCTGCTGCAGTCAAAGACTACGTGAGGACCTAATATTGAGTCCAAACGAAATTTGGTAACGCTACGGATTTCAAACCGGAAATGACCGGAACGACCGTGTTTATAACGATGATGTAAACAAACCGCGTTGAATTCCTCGTCAGTCCAGTCGGCAAATCTTGTAACTTCAAAAACTGCCGTGGTATTTTCATTGTTTGATGCATCGATAAGGTGCATGTTCTCTTTGAAGATTTTCAAACGTTCCAAATAACTCGTTTTATCATTTCGAAAATCACGTGGATATCTGAAATTTGCGTGATAATTTACATTTTTGCCATTTAGTTTTCTTGTCTTTTAGTAAAAACGCCTTTTGCGTAAACCGTTTGAAAAATCGCTTGTGCTGTCGGCAATCAGTGGATTATGCTCGACGTCTGCATCTTCAATGTTACTGAAATGTAGAACCGGCAAGACTGTGCCCGTTTTTTCAAAAAAATTATTCTGAAGGCAATGATTTGCGGTTGCGAAACGTGGTCACTGACGAAAGCAGATGGCATGTATAAGTACATCATTGATAGCAAAACTGAGAGGCTTGGGCGCGGAAAACTGGAAGTATCGAGGACAAAAAAGTTTGGTATAGGTAGTTGCAATGTCAGCTTCTCTACCACAGCAATTCTTACAGAAAACATACTTTTTGAGAAATTTTTTGTAAAGCTTTTCAATCTGTAGATCGCTATAACCCGCTTGACTGCATCCGTATTGGAAACATGCACATACTACCAGTAGTACAATCACAACATGTGCCATCTGCAAAAATTTTGTGATATTAAATCAGAGTGGCACTTAGAAAAAATGAAGTAAAAGAAATCGCTCACTTCCTCTCGGAGAGCTTGAAATTTCAATAGAAAAAATTCGAAAAAATATTAAAAAACTTTGCCGGAAGACAAGAATTTATTTAAAAGAAAAATTTCATGTGAAAATAAAATTTGCTGAAAAGTAGTAAACAACAGCTGATGAGCAAAAAGTTTAATTCATAGATTGCAAAATCTAGACAATGAAATTTTTTACGAAAGGAGGGAAAGACAAAAGCTAAAACCTTGCCCTTATTCGTCTCTATTTGAATCACTCTTAAGTATTCCGATGCCAAAAGCAACCACTCGTTGGCAAAGCCATCAATAGCTCTTCTGTTGAGGATGGCTTAGAAGCAAGCTGATGAGGTACTGCTAGTGGAAATCACTGTTTAAAAAAATGCCTTTCTACCTATGCACAGTTCCGTACATTAATTCCAACTCATGAATTTATTGTAAAATGAGAAAATCTTATCTTAAACTGGATAGGCTAATATGACAGAAGGAAACCTACTTAGGACAGCTGTCTTTGATAAATTTATTAGTTGATGAATTTATTGCGAAATAGGAAAAGCATTAGTTCTTCAGGTATTTCCACCCAGTTATCCCTCATTCCAAGTAAGTTCCCGGATATGTCAATGCAACTACAGGAAACTTCCCAACCACTAAGAATTGTTTAATTTTCGCCATTGAGGAGGTAACAAAATTAGAATTCGAAATATCATGAATTCAAGGATGGCCAACGATCACCAATAGCATTATTGTAACTGTTTTAAAAAATCTGAAAATCAAAAATATCACTATTTCTATTGCTGCTTTTGAAAAGCAACACAGCTGCTTTCCGCAGCGCAGTGGGCGCTTATGAAATTAGTGCAATTAGCACTTTGATTATTTGAAGAAAGCTACTTTTATGATTTTTGTTAGCAACAGCTGTTGCGGTGGAGAGAGACACTGGTTAGTATGGCCATTCCCGTACAGCTGCTTTTAATCTTGACTACCCTCGCAAGGTTGGTGGAGAAACTATTTTGGTAGTTGGGAATTTTAAGATTTTTAAAAGAAAGATGAATCGTAGAAATTATAAAAAAAATGAGTCATAAAAAATGAATCATAAAAAATAACAATAACAATGAGTTAATGAAAATCTTT